ACCACAGCAGGGGCGGGCAATTGCGCACGGGCAGTGAGTAGCAGGCGGCGCTGCAAGCGGGCAGCGCGGCGGACGGGCGGCTCTGCAAGCGGGCAGCGCGGCAGGAAGGTGGCGCTGCAGGCGGGCAGCGCGACAGGCGGGCGACTCCGCAAGCGGGCAGCACGGCGGGCGGGCGGGCAGCGCGACGGACGGCGCGGGGCACAGCGGGCGGCGCGCGGGGCTGCAAGGCAGCTCGACGGGCTGCGCGGGGCAGAGCGGGCGGCGCGCGGGGCTGCAGAGCCGAGCGACGAGCAGCGCGGGGCAGGGCGGGCGGGTCGCGGGGCTGCGCAGCAGATCGACGGGCGGCTCGGGGCACAGCGGGCGGTGCGCGGGGCTGCGAGGCAGCGCGACGGGCAGCGCGGGGCAGAGCGGGCGGCGCGACGGGCAAAGCAGGGGAGGCGCGCGGGGCTCTGGGCTGGCAGGACGCCGGTCGGCAGGGCGCACGAGGGCGCTACAAGGGCGCTACGAGGGCGCTAGGGCGCTACGAGGGCGCTAGGGCGTTACGAGGGCGCTACGAGGGTAGGGCGCGGGGGTAACGCGGTAACCGCAGCGTGCGGTGGTGGGCCCTAAAAAAAAACGATCGGATGGTCCTAGGGACCACCTGCTCTGAATACCATGTTAGAATACTAGCGTGAGAATGAATGCATTGAATGACACAACTGGGTACAAGTAGCAAACCCTACTTGGGGTTGTACCCCATATTGGCTACCCCACTACAGCCTACCAACATATAACAGTTTAACACATTGAGGCATGTGGATGTGTATGGGAGTGGGTTGGCGGAAGTGGAGGGGGTGATGGGGGTGTGTGGAGCAGGATTTCTTGTAGTGAGGGGGAAGAGTGGGAAGCCAGAGTGTGTGGAACCAGCTTAGGAGGGAAAGGTGTATGGAGGGGGGACTTAGTGGAAGCTTCAAGCATGAAGCGCTCAGTGATTTGATATGTCTCCCTGCAATACTGTGCTGTACTAAGGGTACATTCCGCTGTGGACATGCGTCCCAATCGATGTGTCCCAATCGGGTGTACCGCACTGAATCTTATTACACCGAATTACACCCTAGTTTCAAAATTTTCGCTTCTCTGGTTTAGTGCGGTTCGGAGCGGTACACCCGATTGGGACACATCGATTGGGACGCATGTCCACAGCGGAATGTACCCTAAGGCCTATCTAGAGCAACGCCACTACTTTTGTGAGCCTATTGTGCTTGGTAGGTTTTTTTTGGGACAATTGGATACTGTAATATATTGTAGAACAATTTGTTGATGTGCACGCACTCACATATACACGTGCGTTATCGTCTTTTGACGGCTGGATAATTCGTTGACTCGCAAGTTAGGTTGAACTGGAAAATGTGGATATCAAAATGGGAACTGACAAAATGACTAAACTGGATAGAGCACCCATATAATGTGTGTGCTCCTGTGTTGGTGACTCACATATCAGCGAGGACCTGTGATTGCGGCCACTTTGAAAATCGCGATTCGTTGCCCTCACGGTTTGTTTCCCGCTGTCCTGTACAGTATTTCCCGCGCCTTCCGAATCGAGTCGCATCTCCAAGGCTTTCTTTCACTAGAGGATATTTTGAATGCTTTTTGAAATTGTCGAGCCATCCTTGCGACGAGTCGCGCAAAATGGACAGACATGGGAAGTGCGAAGCCACCAGTTTCGTGCGCGAGGACTACCACTGCTTGTGCGCATCGAGTCATTTTCGTGGAGTAGTTGGCTTTGTTGGTCGTCATTAGCTCTCCGTAGGCACAGCAGCAGTTCGTCATTTGGAAGCAGCTAGGTTTCTTCTGTACGAACTGACAACTCTACACGGAGTTACGATGGAGCACCTCCCTCCACCAGCTCACCGCAGCACGCGCGACACGCCCATCCATAATCTACCAGACGAGCTCCTCTGCAAAATCCTCTCGCTCGCTGCGACTCCAGCATTTGCGGACTCCGGGTGTGCTGGCAGCAGCAGCAGCGGAGGCGGCGGCGGCGGCGGCGGCTACGAGCCCACCGTCAGCACGTTTAGTGACCTCGCAGTCACGTGTAAACGCTGGTTAGGAAGCCAAACTACTTTCCGAGTCGGTCGAGGCCACACGCCATCATCTTCAGAGAGGGTCTCGACATGGGATAAGCAGCTTGCGCCGGCGCTTTCCGCACCCGTGCTTTCCGCGCCTGCGCTTTTCCGCACTCTCTCCCTCGCCCCGGGCGTCACTTCCATTTCTCTCGCCGAATGCGCCCTCGATTTCTACGACGACGCTTTCCTTGCCTCGCTAATCTCCACCTCCTCGCGGCTCGTCCGCCTGAGCCTGCACGAGCCGCGATTCACGGGAGCACCTCATTTCAGAATAGGTCTTAAACCACTGGAAAAGTTTTTCCGTACTGCGGGGCCGCGGTTACAGGAGTTGACTCTCTCGCACTGCCTTGGCCAAATGACGAAGCTTCCAGGTTCCATCGCATCCTTGACCTCGCTGCGCGTGCTCCGGCTACACTCCAAGTTTTTCCGTGCGCTGCCCGACGGGATATGCCAGCTAACCGCGCTCCAGGAGCTCCATCTAAGCTGCCCGTTACTGTTGCAGCTGCCGGAAGCTTTTGGGAAGTTGAGATCTTTGGCGCAGCTCTCGTTCTCGGAGTGCACGGAGTTGCGGCTGCTGCCCGAGACTCTCTGCGACCTTTCGTCTCTCACCTCCCTCCGAATCAACGGCTCATGGAAAGTGCAACGTTTTCCAGACCGCATCGGCGCTCTACAGCGAATGCGACGGCTGGAGCTGCGAAACTTCGACGGTGGGTTACCAGACGCGTGCGACGAATGGACGAAACTGGAGGAAGTTACCCTGGAGTCGTGTCCCAACATACAGACTCTCCCAGCCTCACGCCTCGATTCTCTTACAACTCTCACCATCCGTCGCTGCCCGGCGCTCGTGCCTCCCCGATTCGATCTCGTCTTCGCGTCTCGGCTGCGCCACGTAATCATCGACGAAGTGAAATCCGCCGTGTCGCTCGAGGCGCTAAGCCATCTGACATCGCTCGAGCGACTCGACGTGGCGAAGGCAGACGTAAACGAGCCGTTTCCCGTGGGATTGTTCGCGCTGCCGTTGCTGGCGTACATCAAAGTAGGTTCTGTAAAGTGGGTGGAACGAGAAAACCCGACGTTCTGGCAGTCCATCTTAGAAAGGGAACAGCATCTCGACCGTTTTCGTCAAAACAGTCGGTCCCGATGCTGCCGCAGAAATCGCTGCCGAAGCCACTGCTGCCTGCCGCGCTAGGTACCCACCTCTGGGCCGTTCCCTGCGTCAGCTGCACGTAAGCGTGGGATGGGCGCAAAGCTCGGAAGGATGGCTCATGTCCGCGTGGCTATGCTCTCTCGAGTGGCTGACCCACCTCACCATCACCAACCTCAAGGCCTACGACTTCCTCCCAGCAGCTCTCGGGTTGCTGCGTAGTCTCCGCTCGCTCTCGCTCTCCGGTGGCCTACACTACTTTCCGTCCTCCCTCGCGCTCCTCGCGCCATCGCTGCAACCGCTGACGCTGAACTGCGACCTTGCTTTTTGTAAGGATAACGGTTGCCCTTCGCTCCCCGACTCCATCCTCCAGCTCTCCTCCCTCACGTACCTTCACCTTACCAACATCCAGCTCTGGTTTCCGACTCCTGACCTCGGGAGATTAACATCGCTCCGTACGCTACTAGTGAATTACTCTGACGGGTCTTTTCGAAACAGTATCGACCTTCCAAAGAATATTCGCCTTTTGCGGAAGCTGGAGCGGTTAGGGTTGCGAGGATGCTCGTGGCGTAACGCACCCCCGATGTCACTCTGCGAGTTACCCTCCCTGAAGAAATTTCATTTTAACTGTGATCACTTGAGACAGCTGCCTGCGAAGTTCTATCAGCTGACTCGTTTAGAGGAACTGGCGGTCGAGGCATGCTGCAGTATGAAGCAGCTTCCGGCTAGTTTCGGCTCCCTTGGAGCGCTAAAGAAGCTGTCTATAGAAGGTTCAAGGAGCCCTTCGTTTCTGGATCCCCTTTGCGGCTTGCCCGCGCTTGAAGAAGCTACCCTCGCTTCCGGAATCGGTATCTCCTCTTTGCCGCCCGCCTTGTGCCAGTTCTCCCGCCTCCACTCGTTAACAATCATAGAATATTACGACCTCATCTCCCTACCTGCGAGTTTCGGCGCACTAGTATCCCTCAAGCGCCTCTCAATTCGTGAGTGCAGAACTTTCCACCATCTGCCCGAATCTTTCTCTGCCCTGGCGTCCCTCGTCCACCTCACCGTCATTAAGTGCCCGAAATTCTCCACTCTCCCTGAAGGCTTTGGCTCGCTACCCCGATTGACCCGACTGAACATCACCCAGTGCGATTCTTTCACTCATCTGCCCGCCTCCTTGCCCTCTCTCCCTTCACTCCGCGTGGCCTGCTTCAGCCTCTGCAAGAAGCTCCACTCCCTCCCTCCCCACATGGGTCAGCTGCCTCGTTTAGAGGTGCTTCAGTTAAGACAGTGTTTTGCGCTCAAAACTCTCCCAAGTTCGCTTAGAGAAGCTAAAGCGTTGAGGCACGTGGATGTGTATGCAAGCGGGTTGGCGCAGGAAGGGGGAGATGTGGATGTGTGCGGAGCAAAGGTGCATGTGGTGCGGGGGAAGTACAGGAAACCGGAGCAGGTGGGGCCAGCGCAGAGGAGGAGGAGGCCAAAAGGTGCACCTGGGGAGGCTGAATAGGGAATAAGACTAGTGCACAAGGCCTTCAGCCATTTGACTTCCGTTGCTGTATCCTTGTATGTTCTGGTACACATAGGAAGAACTGATCATCGGTACAATTCGCGTCCTATGGGGTTGCTGCTGGTCACTCTTGATCAAGCTCAGATTAATAACCTTTTAAGATAAGGTGCAATCCAAATAACAGAGAGCTTCACCTTTGCTCGAGTCATGAGCAGAGATACAGTACCTACCTGGGAAACTACAAGACGCCTGCTTCAGCCTGTCAGAGCCTGGGCTTGGCAACATGGCAATCCCTCTCGTACTGCTCCTTGTTGATCTCACTCCATTCTAGAATGCGTGCAAACTGATCCCAGGGGCACAACACCACGCCATCACCACCAGCAGCAGCACCACCAGCACCAGAAGTAGCAGCAGCACCACCACCAGAAGCAGCGGCAGCAGCGAAGGCAGGCGTATCGGCCCAGGAGCCCCCAGGAGGGGGTGTGTGTCTGGGCATATCAACCTCCTCAAAGTTCCTGAGTACTCTCGCGAAGTGAGTGGAGTTGTCATTTGATGCCCAGAGCTCCAGTGCAATGGAGGATGCGTAGCCGGGCCAGAAGGGGTATGGACAGCCGAGCGCCACTGCAGTGCGGTTGGGGGTGGTGCAGTGGGATTGGGAGTGGGATGGTGGAGGAGAGTAAAGAGGGAAGGAGGCGGGAACAGGGGAGAGGAAGGATGGAAGAGGGAAATGAGTCTTCTGAGCAAGTCTCATGGAATGAGTGGGACTGTGAGTATTAGAAGACTTGTAGCAGGGAAGAAGCGAGGCAGAGTCTTAAGAGTTTCCAGAGGCAAAAGGGTGAAAGGAACGATTGACTAGGGGCGGTGGAGGAGTGTAAGTGATGCAGGTGCTAAAGCAAGAAAGATATCAGCTAGTTGAGACAAGAGAGGCAGGAAGGAGATCTGGAGAAAGCATGTGGAATGGGAGAGAGGAGAAACGGCAACGGAGAGAGCGGGGTTGAAAGGGAGTAAGGAGTGAGGATGAGAGCGGCGAGGGCGAGAGAGGAGGAGTGAGAAGCAGAGGAGAGAGAAGGGGAGAGGAAAATGTACCTGAGAGGGGCATGAGAGTGGCATCGTGGCCTGAATAGAGGAAGATGCGCGGTTGAGGTGATGTTGGTGCAGGTGGTGGGGATGAAGGGGATGACGGGGATGACGGGGATAGACCACCACCACTTGAGGGTGGCATCGAGCTGCTGCTGTTGCTGCTGTCACTGCTGCTGGTGGTGGCGTTACGAGCAATGGCGGCCTTCATGCTCTCATGCACCTCGTGCAGAAGCGGGCCCATGGCTAGACGACAGATCTCCTGGTGCTGGTGGTGGGAGAGACGGCGAAGGGCGGAGGGGGTCATGAGGACAGAGAGAGAAGAGAGGAGGTACACGTCTAAGTCAACTCCAAAGGCACCTCGTGCAGGAGTGGGCCCATGGCCAGGCGACAAATCTCCTGGTGCTGGTGGTGGGTGAGGGGGGTGAGGGGGTGAGGGAAGTGAGGGGGGTTGACGAGGACGGAGACAGAAGAGAGGAAGCACACCTTTAGGTTGACTCAAAAGGCACCTGTGAATGAGGGGCCCCATGCGAAGACGACAGATCTCCTGGTGCTGGTGGTGGTGGCAGTGGCAAGGCGGGAGGATATGGGGTTGGGTGGGGACATGATACAAGGATGGACCTGGGGGCTGAGAAGAGAGGGAGCAGCGAAGAGAGATGGGATTGGGATGCTGGCGAATGTGGGAGGAAGCGAGGGTGCAAACACCCAAATGGAGGCAGGCCAGTAGGACGCTGGAAAAGAAAGGCTTGGGAGAAGGACGGGAGGAAGGGAGGAAGGGAGGAGAGTTTAGGGTGCATGTATAGAAAATACGCGCATGTAGTCCAGTGGGCGAGGCGGAGGTGTGGAGGAGAAGGCGGAGAGGATATAAAGAGAATGAAGAAAGTGTGGTCCTGGGAGAGGAGATGTGCGCTTGCAAGAAGGTCGGAAGGAGTAGAGCAGAGCAGGAGGGGCGAACAGGGAAGGAGCGCATGTAGTCACGTGAGAGGAGGAAGCGGAAAGGAGAGCTAATGCACAAAGAAAGGCGGAGCATTGCAGGAGGAGCGTACAGGGAAGGAGCGCATGTAGTCATGTGAGAGGTGGAAGCGGAAGAGAGAGAGCTGCAGAGCAGAGCAGAGGAGAGCAAAGCAAAGCAGAGCAAAGGAGAGCAGAGCGGAGCAGGAGGGGCATACAAGAAGGTGCGCATGTAGACCTGGGCGAGGTGGAAGTGGAATGCACGGCTAATGCATGTTTGCAAAGGTGAAAAGAGCAAAGCAGGGCAGAGCAGGAGGGGCGTACAGAGAAGGTGCGCATGTAGTCCTGGGCGAGGTGGAAGCGGAATGTATCGAGAAGAGCCGGGGTGATCGCCGGGGGAAGGGGGTCCCCATGATGGCGCCTGCAGTCCGAATAGTCCACTGCCTGATGAAGGGGAGAGGGGGGGGGGGGGGGGGGGGGGGGGGGGGGGGGGGGGGGGGGGGGGGGGGGGGGGGGGGGGGGGGGGGGGGGGGGGGGGGGGGGGGGGGGGGGGGGGGGGGGGGGGGGGGGGGGGGGGGGGGGGGGGGGGGGGGGGGGGGGGGGGGGGGGGGGGGGGGGGGGGGGGGGGGGGGGGGGGGGGGGGGGAGGAGGGAAGGGGAGGGGAAGGGGTGGGAAGGGAGAGAGATGAACAGGAAAATCTGGTGCAATAGAGAATGTGGGGGTAAACGAGGTGACTATCAGGATCGTTCACACGGTACTTGCTCAACGAGACATGCACAGATGGTGAGTTGGGAGCGCCAGTAGCATTCGAGGTACAAGGATCCACCATGGATTCTCGCTGGTGGACGTTCATAACTTAACGGATGCGGTATTGGTGATTTCGTAAAGCTAAAACGTTTAAGATTAAGTACCCCAATTGTTGAGAGTTTGGTCGTGACACCTATTAATCGTCTATCCCTTGTCAGGAGATGAGCCTGTCAGATAGAGTCGCACTACTAACGAATGTACTGAAGGGTTGGGTTTGCTAGAATAAAAGGGGTGAAATGCGGTGGCAACTGAAATTGCAATGACGAATTGTTGGATATGGTTCGGGTTTGGCGCCACTGAACCAGATCCACATCGGAATTACATTCGCGCTGAAATCGCGAATGTAAATTTTTGTCGCCCCAAAAATCTTAGGGGCGAGCGTCCAGCGTTCAGTGAGCGTTCGGCATCCAGCGTACAGACGCTAGCGTGATTTACGCTAAACGCTCGCCGTCCAGGGCGTATATGCCCTCTTAGAGTTGCACAAGGCAATCGCTGTGAGTGAGCATAAACGAGCTGGCAATCGCTGTGTGAAGAGAACAAGAATCAGCAAAAATCTGGCACGCAGGCTCTTGAGACTGGGTGTGATGCGATCCTCAAAAGAAAGAAAGAAAGAAAGAAAGAAAGAAAGAAAGAAAGAAAGAAAGAAAGAAAGAAAGAAAGAAAGAAAGAGAAAGAAAGAGAGAAAGAAAGAGTCATGCTGGTAGAGGGAAAAGGAGAGAGAATGGCAGAGGGCGGAAGCAAAGAGGGCGGAAGCAAAGAGGGCGGAAGCAAAGAGGGCGGAAGCAAGGAGGGCGGAAGCAAGGAGGGCGGAAGCAAGGAGGGCGGAAGCAAGGAGGGCGGAAGCAAGGAGGGCGGAAGCAAGGAGGGCGGAAGCAAGGAGGGCGGAAGCAAGGAGGGCGGAAGCAAGGAGGGTGGAAGCAAGGAGGGTGGAAGCAAGGAGGGTGGAAGCAAGGAGGGTGGAAGCAAGGAGGGTGGAAGCAAGGAGGGTGGAAGCAAGGAGGGTGGAAGCAAGGAGGGTGGAAGCAAGGAGGGTGGAAGCAAGGAGGGTGGAAGCAAGGAGGGTGGAAGCAAGGAGGGTGGAAGCAAGGAGGGTGGAAGCAAGGAGGGTGGAAGCAAGGAGGGTGGAAGCAAGGAGGGTGGAAGCAAGGAGGGTGGAAGCAAGGAGGGTGGAAGCAAGGAGGGTGGAAGCAAGGAGGGTGGAAGCAAGGAGGGTGGAAGCAAGGAGGGTGGAAGCAAGGAGGGTGGAAGCAAGGAGGGTGGAAGCAAGGAGGGTGGAAGCAAGGAGGGTGGAAGCAAGGCATACCCAGAGCCAAGGGAAGCGGCCAGTAGGGAGGTTGAAGAAGGAACGCATTGACTCCCTCACATGCTGCACAGAGGGCGTTGTGGGGGTGGGGCATGGGGGATGGGAGACAGGGCATGGTTATCCCAACAACAATGCACATCCATCACTCCACACCCTGCCCACCTCACACTCCCACTCACATCACCTCTCGCCTCTCCCTGCTCCCTGCCTGTTTGCACCTCCCTCTGTTTGCACCTACCTGTGAGAGATTCTTAAGAATTCCAAACAACTATTCCCCAGCTTCTGCCCCCACCTGCTATTGCCACCACTGCTACTCCGCACGCCTGGTATGTCTCCCCCGCACTGCTACTTTCTGAGACGTCTCAAAGACCCACCTGGTATTGCGCCCGCCAGCCAAGGTCCGAGAAAGAACCATCGGGGTTGCGTGTGGAACGGGAAAGGTCCTTCCATGCCCGCCCCCACAGCATCACTCCCCTGCCATGGTGCCAGGTGGGTGTCACACGTGGTGGTCACACGTGGTGGTCACACGTGGTGGTCACACGTGGTGGTCACACGTGGTGGTCACACGTAATGGTCACACGGGCAGGGGCGACATGGGCAGGGTCAACATGGGCGGGGGAGGGCACTGGGCAGAGGCGCATCATCATCACAATTATACGACTGTGCGCAGTAACATGGGAGCATGGTGCTGACGGTTCTGAGAAACCTCAAGGGTGACATGGGATGGGATCGTGGTGCTGAGGCTGACTTCAGAATCCACTCAAAAGTCGACTGGGAGTGGCGACATGGGAGGATGGTGCTGAGGTTGATACTGGTAATTCTGATGCTGCTGCCATCTCACCTGCACCGAGCTCCTTCACCCTTCCTCCTCCTTCCCCCTTCCTCCTCCTTCACCCTTCCTCCTCCTTCACCCTTCCTCCTCCTTCCCCCTTCCCCTCCTTTCTCCTCCCTCTTTTCCTTCTTCCCACCCTTGCCCCCCTTTCCCCTGTCCCCCCTTCCCCCTCCCTCCTCCCCCATTCCCCCTCCTCACCTGGCGCAGCGGTCGTTCTCATAGAGGTTCTCCTCGCCATCGCCCCATATATTAATGGGCACCTGTGCTGCTCCCTCCTGCGACCCCAGCAGTCCCTGCAGCACGTAGAAGCCTGGGGAAGAGGGCGAAGGGGGAGGGGAGATGGTTTTTGAGGGGCCTAAAAACTCGCTCCTGCGGCCTCAGCAGTCCCTGCAGCACGTAGAAGCCAGGGGAAGAAGGCGAGGGAAGAGGGAGAAGGTTGATAGTCGCTCCTGCAACACATAGAACACTGGGGAAGAGGGCGAGGGGCGTGGACGAGAGCGGACACGGGAAAGGCAAGAAAGGGAGACGACAGGGATTCGGGGCGAGAGAGGAAAATGTGACAGGGAACTGTCGGGACGACAGGGATACGGCTGGTGTTATCCAGTTTGGATGGGCACAGGTGTTACCACCTACCACGTGCTGCTAGAGAAGGGCTTGGTGCATGTGGGGAAAGGAGGAGGTGTGACAGGGGAAGGTGAGGACGGCGGAAGGACGGAATGGAGTGGGGTTGAGGGGGGTGTGAGTGAGGGAGAGTGGATACGGGCATGAGGGTATCAGAGGGGAAGGGAAGCGAAAAAGGGTGGGTGGGTGGGAGCAAATGACATGCACCTGTCATGTAGGTCCGAGGGAAGTTGGTGGAGCGGATGCTGATCATAGACGATGCTTTTGGCGCTGTAGCTGTGCTACTGCTTCCGTCACTGCTGCCGCTGTCGCTATCGCTGCTTCCATTGCTGCTGCTGTGGGTGCTGGAGCCTAGGGCAGCAGCGCCAGTCACTGCTGCAGCTTGTGTGGCATCCACACCACCAGTAGCAGCGCCAGCAGCATCACCAGCAGAGGCACCAGCAGCGTCCGCACTGGCAGGGGCAGCAGACGCCTGTGCGACCGGGACGCCCAGCAGAGCGGCATATCGGTGCCTCAGAGCACATCCCAAAGACTCTGCCTCCCGTGCTCCTGCCAGGCAGCACACGCGCACAGGGAGAAAGGGAGAAAGCCGAGGATGCGTGATGGCACAAAGAGACAGAGAGGGGCGAGGGAGGGAGGGAATGAATGAACGAACTCTGAGTTGAATCACAAGTCATTTCCACCTTCCGTGCTGTGCTGCTACCAGCCAGCCATCACACGAGAAAGGTGAGATGCAGGAGGTGGGGGAGGACACCAGGTTCATACACTTCGTGAGACTGTGACACACTGACAGTCTACTCTGTCTCTCCTGAAACCTGAACCTCGAAACCATGAAACCCACACACAGTGCCGCAGCATGCTCCCAAGTATCAAAAAGATGAAAATGTACATTCTCCATAAATCCCAAGGTGGCAGTTTCCATAAAGCTTCCACTCGCACACCTTTCCTGGTGAGTTGGCCGAAGGGCCACTCTATCCCCCGCGTGTGCTGCCTGTGTGGCAGCACGTGCGCGGGGGGACGCGGCTGTAGCCTCGCCTCCCACCGCGCCACCTCCTCCTCTGACGGCGTGCCACGTGGCATGGGCGCCCTGTCGCCGTGGCGGAACATCACGTGCACCTGAGGTGAGAGGGGGGGGCGGGAAAACAGGGGAGCAGGGAAAGCGGGGGGTTGAGAAGCGGGGGGAAGAGGGGGAAAGAAACGTTAGAGAGAGGGCGGAGAAGGAAAAAGGAAAACCTCAAGGAGCGAATGGAGGGACCGGCAGAGATAGTACGAGGAAGTGGGAAAGGCCAGGGCGATGGCGACCCTAAAGTGCAGGGATCTTGGAGGCGATAAGGACAAGACGAGTAGATAGTGAGGGGGACAGGGGTCTGGAAGGGCAGTGAGGGAGTTTTATACAGAAACGACGAAGATTTCCTCCCTTTACAAAACCACACAAAATCATGATCGCATTTAAATCTGCAGTGTAAACGTAGAGTTGCAATTTGTCGGCGATATTGCGACTGTTTGAGTGTGACTGTACCTGCAGCAGCTTTAGCGGGAAGATCGCCGCGGATCCCGCCTGGTGCCCCGCTCCGCCTACACCTGGCGCGCTCTCCCCCTCCGCGCCACCTGCTCCGCCCCCAGATCTCACCGCCTCCTTCCCGCTCCCCCCGCTACTATCCCCCGTTGCGCCGCCCCCGCTCTCCCCCGATCCCGCGGGGACGGATCCCGCGCCCGTTGCGTCCCCTTCACATGATGCCACGTGGCTAATCACCCTCCCGCGCAGCGATTCAATGGCGGAGGCGCGAGCAGAAGCCGAATCCGCGGAAGGCGAGGCGGAATAATATGTGGCTGTTGCAAGCGACGCGGCGGCGGCTCCGGCTGTCGCTATGGTGGCAACGGCTGACGATGACATGGCACCCGCGATGCGTCGCGCGGCGCCGCTCCACCAGGGAGGAGCCATGAGATTTCTTACGAACTACAAAGCAGGATCTAACATCAAGGGATAAGCTGCGATGAATACTAGATCGTGATCGCGATAGTTAGAACCAGGTTCGCTTGATCGGACGGTTCGACAACGCAAGGATCACAGCTTCTCTACTCCACAGCGGAACAGCGAGAGAGCGAGCGAGCTGCTGTCGGGTAGGGGAAGTTGAGGGAGGCATAGAGCACATGGGTGTGCCGCGAATCTGGAGGGAGTTGAGGGTATTGATCAGCGGGCGGGGTAAGTTTCCCCAGGATGATCGGAACGGAGGGACGCGTTGCTCTGTTCGGTATGTACGTGGAAATCTCTCTGTTTTTGGCGGTGCTGTGCAGTACTTTTTAAAGAAGGGGTTTAGGAAGTACAATACAATGCTGTATGCCACGGGTCGACCCTAATATAAGGTTTGAGGGATAAATCGAAATTTATCATACAAATTCCTCCGTCGCATCTGGCCTGAGAAGCTTCTTGCGCTGTGTCCTACTGGGGGCGTGGTGGGCTCGTGCCCACAACTTCTGTACGTTCCCTATGGTCAAATTTGACTGGACACGGTGGACAATGAACCGTGTGGAACCGTTCTGAGCCACGATACAAGAATAAAAATGTACAACCCGACTTCGCCGAGACAATAGTTTGTCTTAAAGTACGATTACAGCCGCAGTCAGCAAAGAGGGAAAGGGTGACCACAACGGGAAACGCAGCAGTTCTGTAGAGAGTACAAGCAGAATCTCTTCCCTCTCCCCCTGGAACAATTTCCCACCGCACTAAACCATACCGACGCACTCTTCAACAAAAACGCACCGTGCTAAAACGTTCTGAAAGTCGAATATGTATCAAAAGCCGCATTTGCACCACACCACCACCCTCACCACCCGCAACGCGCTTCAGCCTCCAGACCACACCTCTTCTTTCTTCTCGCCTCGTATCTCACAACCTGACTTGACTGACCATGGTGACCTCTCTCATCTTCTCCCACTGTAACCCCACGATGCGTCTCCGCTTTTCTTCGTCGTCTTTCCCGCACGCCGTGTCGCGACGGCATGCTGACACTCGCTCCCTGTCAGCCGTGCGACCTCGGTATACTTCGAAGCCCAGATCCCACGAAAAACACACCGGTCAGACGTCGCGCGTGCGAAAACAACCCTTGTCGCAGTCGCATGTCGTCCTCTAAGTCGCCGACTCGTACTGTTAATCGTCCGGCCGTCCGCCTACCCGTCCGTCCGTCACGCGTCACTTGCCGGTCACTTGCTGGTCACCGCCATTACCAACCCCCCGCGCCGGTCACTCACCAGTCACTGTGTCATAGCCGACACATTCAAGGTCCGGTCCGCTGCGTCTTGATTCTTCATGGTCATTCCTCTCGGGCTTAGCACGCCCGTCGCGACGCCTCACCGCTCTCTCCGCGCGCTAATCTCCGCGCAGCGACCATCACCCTCCGCGGATGAACCTCTCCGCAGCCCTGCTTCCTTCCTACTTAGAACGCACTCGCTAATCGACGCAGTCAGCACAACCACTGTTGCATCCACTGGTCGATCCCACTCACAGTGCACCACGGTAGTCACAGGCGCTGCTAGTACCAGCTGCATGCTTGAGAACCGACTCAAGACACAGCAGTCAACAAAATCGCAGGCAACGGAATCGCTATTTTGCGCCCACCAGTGCATCTCTATCGCAGTTGTCGCAGCAGCCACTGGTGCAGCTAGCCACAGGCGCTGCTACCAGCTGCGTGCTTGGGAACCGACTCAAGACACAGCAGTAAACATAATCGCAGGCAACATAATCACAGGCAACAGAATCGCTATCGCACCCACCAGTGCATCTCTATCGCAGTCTTCGCAGTAGCAGCCACTGGTGCAGCTTCATGCAACCTGCCTGCTCATCGGAACTGCTCCTACTTTCTGCACTCCTGTAACTTCCTTCCCAATTGCTCGACCGCCTGTGACCGACCAGCACCGAGTGCAGGGCCTGAGCAGCACGAGGAAGCATCTGATCATCTGAGCATTTGAGCACTCCCTACAGCTCCACACACCACCGCACACCACCGCACACCACCACGCACCGCCGCCCACCGCCACACACCGCCACGCACCACCATTGACATTCGCCATTCCGACGTTCCTAGCCACGCGTCCTTCCCTACACGCCGCGATGACATGCCCTCGCGCCCAGCCAGCTGTTTCAACGCGCCATGCTGCCGAGATGAGGGGATGCGGCGAAGACGAGGGGGAGAAGGACGCCCTGGGCTCATCCTGTGCTGCTTCTGGCCCTGTGACTGGCGCTGTCACTGGCGCTGGCACTGCTGCAGTGCGTGTGGAGTGTAGTACCCGCAGCAGCAGGTGTGGTGGGGCGGCGGTGACATGGGTCCTGGCCGTGTGCCTTCTTCTCACACATGCAGGTACGCGTGAATTGTGGGGAGGATGTGGGTGGGTGGGTGGGAGGGTTGTAGAGGGGATTAGTCGTGGCTTGCTTCTATCGTGCTTGTGCTTTAAGAACCACAGGTTTTCGAGTCAAACCACGAGCGCACAACTTGTGTGCCTCGGGAATGGTTTGGCTCGTGGCTTGCATCGCAAAGGCAGCTCGTTTGCTCGCTTGCTCATTTGTCTTGTTCCCTGTTGTGCCACTGCACCTGCACCTTTCTTTCACACCAGGGACAGGTGATGCTCTGATATCATCACGGTCTGACGATACACTGCCAGCAGCAGCAGCAGCAGCAGCAGCAGCAGCACACACCCCAACAGTTGCTGCTGAAGCCAACATGTTGCTGTCTTTCCCATCCCTATCATTATCCACATCCTCCTCCTTCCATGCACCATCTTCTGAATCTGCTCACGTCCTCCCGTCTCGGCGCAACAATCCATCCGCTCCTTCCCAACCCTCTCACTCCCCTCTCCCACCACCTCCGTCCCCGCCCGCCAGCATCAGCACAGCCACCCCCACTCTTCCCACCTCCAAAACACCCAACCCTACAATCTCCTTCCGCCTGCCCCTATCCCGGAAGACCTTGCACCTGCCAGACATAGTCCCAGAGCAATCAAGCAACCAGGGCACACTCACCAACCAGATCCAGTTCAACACGCAGATCGCCGAGGCCAAAGCCGGCGGGACGGTCGATCAGAACAACTCGCAGTCTCAGACTGCGGGTCCTGCTTCCAGCAGCAAGTCGCCTCCTGCACCCCCGCCGTGCTCCGATAAGAAGTGCGAGAAGGAGCGCGCGAAGGAGGAGATTGCGAGTGATGCGAGCCAGTTGCATCGGGACGTGGGACAGGTCGGGCAGGATGTGCGGGATATCGGGCAGGACGTGGCACAGTTTGTTACGAGAACTCCGTTGGATTTGACTTACACGTTCCCGACAGCTCCGGATTACCGGAGGACCTTTACAGAGATCATTCCGGAAGGCGCTGATGGGATTTTCGTGAGCTTCCCTGGTTCGCCTCTGCAGCCATGACATGGAAAAATCATTTAGTGATTAGATCAGGGATCAGTCATCAGTTATTATTGATCAACGTTCAGTGATTGGTGCTTCTACATCATGGTTGTACGGTATGCTGTAGAGGTGGGACTGTCAAGTTATGTTATATCCTGCTTACGCTAGTTACTGTAGTTACTACTATGAACTGTTGGTGGTACACCTTTGCATGCTGTGTTTCCTATTTGTACCTTCCTCAATAGTGAACTACCCTCTTTGCCCAATTCCCCCTCCCGCTACTCTCGGCTATCACCTAGGCTAGGGTTTCACCTAAGCCTAGGTTACTCCATTATTCTTGACATGGTGTCAGAGCTGGTTCTTTCCTAGAACCTTCTCTTTTTTTTTTAAGTAACATGGGCCCGCCTTTCCTGCAGCGCGAAATGCGCTACTTTTTTCTTCGTCCCGTCGCGCTCTTCGGCCGTCGCGTCCGTCGTCCCGCGACCTCCGTTCCGTCGCCCCGCGGCCCCCCCGTTTCGTCGCCCCGCGGCCCCCCGTTCCCGTCGCCCGCGGCCCCCCGTTTCGTCGCCCCGCGGCCCCCCGTTCCCATCGCCCGCGGCCCCCCGTTCCCGTCGCCCGCGGCCCCCCGTTCCCGTCGCCCGCGGCCCCCCTGTTTCGTCACCCCGCGGCCCCCCGTTCCCGTCGCCCGCGGCCCCCCGTTTCGTCGCCCCGCGGCCCCCCGTTCCCATCGCCCGCGGCCCCCCGTTCCCGTCGCCCGCGGCCCCCCGTTCCCGTCGCCCGCGGCCCCCCGTTCCCGTCGCCCGCGGCCCCCCGTTCCCGTCGCCCGCGGCCCCCCGTTTCGTCGCCAGCGCGGCCCGCCAGCGCGGACGCCAGCGCCGTGGCCAGCCGCCTGCGCCACAGTCAGCGCCAGCAGCAGCTACCGCCGCCCCGCCCCCCCCCCCGCCCTCCCTTCCGCGGCTTCCGTCGTGGGGGGGGGGGGGGGAGAAGGAGATGTGGGGGTGGCGGGTGTGAGCTGCCTGCAGCCCGTCCCTCCCCTCTCTCTTCCTGCAGAGATGTCGCTGTGGAGAAAAAGGGGGGGGGGGGAGAAGTGGAGAAGGGTGAGGGGGTGGCGAAAGTAGAAAGGTGCGGAGGGTGTGAGGTTCAAGGGGTTGAGTGACAAGGGGGGTGAGGACTTAGAGGTTATTAACGGGGGGGGATCGCTATGAGCTTGCGCGCTCATGCCCACCTAGCCCACCTCCTCTCCTCATCGGGACTTGGGGGTTATTAACGGGGGGGGATCGCTATGAGCTTGCGCGCTCATGCCCACCTAGCCCACCTCCTCTCCCTTTCCTCTCTCACCTCCCCTTCGTAAATGGAGGTTCGTAAGCGGGTCCGCCGGCACTGGCCCCCCACCTCCTCTCCTCTTCTCTCCTCTCGCCTCCACGTACTTCCTCACCTCTCTGCCTTCTTCCACAGCGCTTGGTTTACTCTTTCAGGGGGTGCCGACTGCACCAGTTCCTACCGCAAGCAGGCTAAGGGGGTGTGTCAAGTTATGTTATATCCTGCTTACGCTAGTTACTGTAGTTACTACTATGAACTGTTGGTGGTACACCTTTGCATGCTGTGTTTCCTATTTGTACCTTCCTCAATAGTGAACTACCCTCTTTGCCCAATTCCCCCTCTCGCTACTCTCGGCTATCACCTAGGCTAGGGTTTCACCTAAGCCTAGGTTACTCCATTATTCTTGACAGGGACTCCCATCTCATTGGCTGTTTGGTCGTACCGGTACGGTATGCTGCTGTTAATGGCCATTGTAGCTTTGGATGTACATACCCATACTACAACAGTTCTTGCAAATTGCAGCTGCCCTGTGCATTACCGTAATACAATGTACATGCATGCACCAAGTATGACGAATACCGATATTTTTCATGTACATTTAGGTACAAACAAAGACCTCACTTATTACAAAAAACTGAAACCACCCAACGAGCACACCACCAAGCTGTCGAGGAAAACCTGTCGATATTGTGAAAACGCACTACAGATTGAACATAACCTTAATCGCCTTCCCTCCTCCAGCACTCACCCTAAACGCCTCCTCCACCTCCCCTTGCGAGAACCCAAACCGGTGCGTTATAAGCGGCTTCACGTTAACGCGCCGGTCCCGCAACAGCGCGACGCACGTATCATACGTGTGACAGTACCGGAAAACACCCACAATGTCAACCTCCCGGAGAGCAACGGCCGAAGCTATAGGCAGGGACATCTCAGGCTCGGTTTCTCCCATGCCTATGAGCACGACGCGCCCTCCTGCTGACGTGGCATGGAGAGCTGTGCACATGGTGGCGGTGATGCCTACACAGTCCATGGTGACGTGGATGGTGCCTGAGCAAGCTTCTAGGAGGCGTGCGGCATTGGATTCGGCCTGGGCGGAGTTGGAAGGAGAAAGGGGGGTGGGAGAGGAGAGGGAGACGGAGGAGAGAAGAATCGGGAGTAAAGCAGGGAGGGAGTGAGCAGGAGAGGTGTGTTAAAAGTACACGAAAAGAGAGCCTGGAGGAGAGAGCAGGAGTGGAGCAGTACAAATGGGGACAACAGGCAGAAGGATCGGGGGCAGGATGAGCAACAGGATAAGCAGCAGAGAAAGCAATTGCGTCCACTCACCGTTGCACCCGCTTCCATCTGCAGCACTCGTACCCCACACCCCTTCTCCGCCTTCTCCCCCTCCCCGCCTCCCTCCCCCTCTCCACCAAACACCAGAACCTCCTGTGCAAACGCCACCCGGTCCCTGCTGACATCGGCAATGGTCACAGCAGCAGCACCCAGAGCGCGGGCAGTCATTGCCACGAGCAGGCCTATGGGACCTGCCCCCACCACCGCCACATGCAACCCGGCGAGTGAAGGCTCCGAGGAGTATGGCGAGGAGGGAGAGGCGGAGGAGGGGGTAGTGGTTGGGGCGGAGGAAGGTGGGGCGGAGGTGTGGGAGGGGTGGGTGAGAGGGAGGATGGCGGGGCCGGCAGCAAGGGCGCGGCGGCAGGCGTGTATGGCTACGCTGAGAGGCTCGCACATGGCGCCCTCCTCCAGGGACACGGAGGGGGGCAGGGGGAAGCAGAGGAAGTCCGGGTGGATGACCTGGGAAGGGGGAGGGAGAGCGGGTGAAGAAGAAGAATCACAAGGGGGAAAGGAAGCAGACTGGGATGGAAGAGGAAAGAGCTTTACCTAAACAAGGCCGTGAGTGGAAAAAGCTCTATTTGAACAATGATGTGACTAATTTGGCGAGCTCTTTGTGACATGTCGAAGCGTTGACGAAAGGAAAAGGTGCTGAGGGTGGGGCATGACGTGAAAGCATTCACCCGTTCTGCTCAACCAACCCAACCCAACTTGATCCAGGACTAAACCCCCATCCCATTTCCCGAACCCCCATCCACTCATCATCTCGCTCACGGCTGATCCAAGCACAGGCGGAATCATCTCTAAGGCAGCGATCCCTGAATGACCCTCGCATCACCTCCTCACCTCATTGGCCAGCGATCCGTGCACGGGCGGCGTGGCAAAGAACTGCATGTCGCGGCACAGGTTGTAGCGGCCAACCCCCTATCCACTCATCACCCCATTGACCATCACCTGTTCTCTACTAAGAAGTGCCTCATTGACCATCACCTATTCTCTACTAACAGGTGCCTGATTGACCGTCTCCTCACCTCATTGGCCAGGGACCCGTGCACGGGCGGCGTGGCAAAGAACTGCATGTCGCGGCACAGGTTGTAGCGACCAGCACCCCCCGCGCAGTGCGCACAGGCGGCGGCTGTAGCAAGGCAGCCGCGCCCCGGCTCCATGGCCACTGCATCCCCGGGCTTGCAGCGCGTCACTGCGGACCCCACCTGCAGCACCGTGCCTGCACTCTCGTGACCGATCACCATTGGGGAGTTGACTATGTAGTCTGCTATGCGCATGTGCTGGTGGTTGGGGTGGGGGAGGAGGGGAGGAGAGGGGGGAGAGGTGGGGGAGGGAGGCGAAGGCAGACAGGGAGAGTTGAGAGTGGTGTGCTTGACTTGACAGGTGGACAAGTCACAACACTCACTCACGCCCCGGCCGGCTCCATGGCCACAGCGTCCCTGGGCTTGTAGCGCGTCACTGCTGAACCGACCTGCAGCACCGTGCCTGCACTCTCGTGACCGATAACCATTGGGGAGTTGACAATGTAGTCTGCTATGCGCATGTACGGCATTCACTCACTCCCCCGGCTCCATAGCCACTGCCGGCCCCCTGGCCCCCTGGCTTGCAGCGGGTCACTGCCGAGCCCACTTGTAGCACTGTGCCTGCGCTCTCATGCTAAGAGAACGAGGTCGATTGGATTCGTGACTAAACTTGAATTCTGCTACAACCACACTGACTCACACCACGCACAAGCATGCCTCGATACAGTCACACACGGCACACGCGGCACACGCGGCACACACGGCACCTTGTAGTAATGCACGTCGCTGCCGCATATTCCCACGGCTCTCACCCGCACGCGCACGTCGTGAGGCCCTGCCAGGGCACGCGCAAAGATGCAGAGCGTGGAACGGAGATTTACACAGCGAAACAGAGCAAGATAGGAGCGCAGTTTCCCAAAGTGCAACTCTATCCGAATTTCTTTCTTTCTTTCTTCGCTCTCTTCGCTTTGCAATCCTTCTTCTCTTGGACGCCTACAGCACGTTCTCGTACCAAGTTCCGACGGGGTGGGTGCGGGCAGCAGGCGAATATCCTCCACGCCATACAGCCACGCAGCAATGTTAGTCTCGCCGCCGCTGCCGCCGCCGCTGCCGGCTTTCTCATCGGACGGTGCGGCTGGAAAGGGATCAGCCATGGGAGAAAATTTGTGTGGTAGGTGACGACGCTAGGGGGAGAAGGCGACCGGAGGCGAGATACGATAAATGCAAGAAAAGAGGGAGGGGAGGACAAGAAACGCGAGGGGAAGGAGGAACGGAGAAAATAACGGAAATCAAGAAAGCAGAAGAGGCAAAGGAATTTGGAGAGATTCGGAATTGGAAATGTCAACGTCAGGGGCTGTTAGATCTTCGTAGTTTTGACACCAGCTGTTTATGCGTGTCAACCCAAAGCGCTAGTGATTTTGCGTGTCAATAACTGTAGCATCAGTGTCAACTCGAAGCGCACGTAGAATCATCAACGACGCATTCTGATTAGCTGGGACCTACTAGTGTATTCAATGATTGGTGCATGTCCAATCCAGGGTTTAGGGTTAGCTGTTAGGTCTCAAGTAGGAAGCGGTGCGATTTTGTTGGGTGATAGGGGTGATGAGATTGCAGCTGCGACGATCCTGATTGGCTCGTAGGCATTGACTCTGTCAGAGTCAGAAGGTATCCGACTAGTTTTACTCGTTATCAATCTGCAAATTTTGACACTCTGCCAACAATGTATGCTCGTGTCAAAATGGCAAAATGACACTGGTGTCAAAACTACGAACAAGCCCTTAGATGGTTTGCATGAAAAGGCAGGAGCGACAACAAGAGGCGACGAATTCGTCTTAGGGTTGCGAAGCTATTTGTGTATTAGTGTACAAATGAATTGATGTTTAAAAACAGAAAATACACTATGTAGAGCTTCACTTCAAATTTGCTGAAAAAGGTTACCTTGATTGGAATCTGAGTTCCACGAGAATCGAACTCCCAACCTTTGGATCCGTAGTCGAAGTTCAAAACATAGCGCTAAGTCCGTCGAAGTGTTTCTGTTTCGAAATAATATTGTTCTGTTGTGATGCGACAAAGCAGGTGGTTAGGTTTACGCATTCCTTATTTCCCTTTCCGCTGCTTCTTCTCCAACCACCCCTGTTCTTACGCTATTCCATTTTCAAGGTAAGAGAGTAGCAGCAGCAGCATTAAGAGCACGGAGAGTAGGAATAGTAAGTTTAGTCGAGATCATGCCTTAGTTGTGGAAACTACCTTTCTGTTTTTGTGATAATGCCTTCGTTTTTGCTACCTTGTTTTTGCTACTCTGTTTTGTTGCATATTCATGGTTCCGTATGTCTTTTTCCTTTCCTACTATCTCTATCCGCTATTCTTATCTCTCTTCTCATTTTCTCTTATGTGTCTCTATTTTGTTTCCCCTTTTTATCTTATCGCCGTCGTCGATCTTCTGGTGCTTGGCGCGCTGGTGACCATTTGCTTGTGCCAGGCGCTCTAAGGGAGAGGCGGCACAACAACACTCTCCCTCTCTAAGCGTGCTATTCGCAGCAATGCGGCGACGAAGGCGGCAGGATTTGGTGAGAGAAGAGCGTGGGAAAGAGACACAATTGTAGAGGGAGAGGAGAGAGTGGAGGAGAGAATGAGTGTGGAAAGAAGTTTGTAGTATTTGCGCTTGCTCCTTCTCTTCCTCGTTTCTTGTACAAGTGTGTAATAGTCGCACTTATCTGCTTAGCTATGCCTTCCTTTCTCTATCAACTTTCTTTCACAAGAGTGAGCAATGTAAATCGAGAAACTCTTTCACCTTTCATTCATTTTCTTGTCTTCTCTTTGTTATATTCTTTTCCTCCTTTCTCCCTATGTTTCTGTTACTTTTCATTCTCTTGTTCTTTTCTCTCTCTCGTTTCCTCGCGCTAGTGAAGCCTACTTCGATATATGCTCCCGCCACCCACGCTCCACCCACCTCTTAAAGGTCAGAAACCTTCCTTCAAGTAGGGCTATGTTAGGCGACTGTAAGTTAGACTAGTATTTTTCTTAAAGTCGTTTCTTGGTTCTTGTCATTTCTCTGTTGCATCGAGCATTTCCGTTTATTTTACGCTAATGCTCGTTTTATTAGTTACTTTCTGATGTTTCTTCATGCGTCGTTGTTATAGATTTCCATATCCGTTCTAGATCGCTCTCGTTTACAATAGCTTTCCTGATTTTGTCTATTATTAGTACATCAATCTATTCCTACAAAGATTGTCTTTCCTCGAGTCATCTGTCCTCTCTTCAATGCTCACGCCATTTTTCATCCATCTCTTTCTCTCTCTCTCTCTCTCTCTCTCTCTCTCTTTCTCTCTCTCTCTCTCTCTCTCTCCTCTCTCTCTCGTCCTCTCTCTCTCGTCCTCTCTCTCTCATCCTCTCTCTCTTGTCCTCTCTCTCTCTATCTCTCTCGTCCTCTCTCGCTCTTGTTCTCGCTCTCGCTCTCCGTTGTTCTCGCTCTCCGTATTCGTTGTATTCTCTTCTTTCGTTTACTGTCTCGTTATTTTGTCCCTCTGTTCCCGTTCCTTATTTTCGTTTTATGCCTCGGTTCTTCCCCTTGCTTTTTGTCAGGTCTAACCATTTAATGCTCACGGCGTTTTTCTTAGCCCTTGTATTGTTTCATTTGTTTCTTCGTCATTCTTGTTTCTCTTCATTTTATCACACCTCATACCTTTTTCTGTTTTGTTTGTTGTACCGGCTATTTCTTTCCGTTCCTTCCAGGCCTCTGGATAGGATTTGGGGTACTCTTCCTCGTAAGGCCAACACCCAGCTGTTACTCTTTCAGTAAGGGTGCTTCACAGGAACTGCTCTTAAAAATCAGGGTGCAAACAAAAACAATAATTAATCAGGTACTGGTATTTTTGCTGACCTACTACGTAGGCTGTTAGTGTTGCAGTGTGTTGATTCTCGTTGTTATGTGGAGGACTCAAGTTCGATACCTGTCGCGGTTATCCGACGCGGGAAATGTGTTTTACGCGACCAAACCTAGTATCCTCTCTTAGATCGAACTCGATTTCATCAGTGCTACTACACCACATAGCTCTGAAATATCAGTGTCATACAATCGATCACTTTATTGAGAAAGCTAGCTTTCTTTCTTATCAATTGGCATCGTTCTCATTACAAATGGCGTATTACAACATTTGTATCATCATTCGACACAAGCTAGTGCGGACTAATAACGCTAGCTAGGATATACCCTATCCAAGTGGCATTAGCAAGGCGGTTTACTCTGGGGTGGGTGGTGGGAATGTTGAGTGAGCCGTTTGAAAATTGAGAAACGTGGGTGGAGGGAAATGAGCTCCAACCCACGGTTTTTGTAGTTGGAGAAGGGCGTTTAGCGCGCTTCGACGATGCCAATTGTGCAGTACAAGCAGCTTCGCTTTCACAATACACAATTTTAAAAAACACTACATGTTGTCAAAAGAACTAGGCAAGAATGGTGCATTGAATGGAAGAATTGGGTACAAGTAGCAAACCCTAGTTGGGGTTGTACCCCATATTGGCTACCCCACTACAGCCTACCAACATAATACAGTTTAACACACCCCCATAGGCAAAGTGGGGGAGAACAAAGGGTCACAAGACCAGTCCAGCAAAGCAAAACAAAGCCCAGGGTGGATCACAACGTCACCACACTCCGAGCACAAGCAAAGGCCACAAGGCCAGTTCACATGCAGTGCTAGATATAGAACAGGACAAGCAGCAAGATATATATAAAGTACAGTACAAAGAAAGTCAAGCAGTAAGCAAATGAGGAAACGTGGACACAAGGCCTAAAGAAGTACAGTGCCGCTGATGATCACTAGGCGGGAGCGCCTTGGTGAAGATATCAGCAGTATTGGCCTTCGAGTCCACGTACACAAGCCGAAGCTGACCGCGCTGCTGAAGCTCTCGAGCAAGAAAGTAGCGAAGAGCAATGTGCTTCGTCCTGTGCTCCAGTCTGTGCTCCTGACACAAGGCAAGGGCCGCCTTGTTGTCACCGTACAGAACTGGAGGAGAACTAGGCCGCTCTCCCAAGTCAGTCAGCAGGTAGGTGAGCCAGCGTAACTCCTGTGCAGCCATGGCTGTGGCGTAGATCTCAGCCTCACAACTAGAGCCGAGAACAGAGGAAGAGCGGGTGGACCGCCACGAGACAGAACCAGAGCCAAGGCTGAAGGTGTAACCCTGTGACGACCGCTGCGTAGCCAGGTCGTCCACCCAAGAAGCGTCCGAGTGACCAGTGAGGACAACTCTGTCGCGTCCTCCAAGCACCAGCCCCATGCCTGATGTACTGCACAAGTAACGCAGCACCCTCTTAGCAGCCTCCCAGTGCTCTCGCCTGTGTCTCCCAGGCGCAACGTAACGAGCAAGGATGCTAAGTGGGTACGCGAGGTCAGGTCGCGTGCAAGTCATCAGGTACATGAGGCAGCCTACAAGCTCTGGGTACGGGCCACTCGGCTCTACGGACTCGTCCGAAGGTGGAGCTGAGAGCGAGTGGCTGGTAGCCAGAGGTGTGGCCTGTGGTGAGGAGAACTGGAAGCCGAAGCGCTGAAGGACCT